GAGCCTCAGGGCGGACAGTCCGGAGGAAGGTGTGCAGTGGGGCTGCCGGGAGGGCTCCTGGGAGCAGGCTCTCAGAGGTGAGATGAGTCTGCGCAGGGAAGCTGGGAATCAGAGCACAAATCCCTGAACACCCAGAACCTCAGAGGCCTGGACGCAGGGGCCTGGACAGACCTCTCAGGCATAAGCGAGCACCCGCTGAGATCAGTGTTTGATTCTTCGCTTCTAATTAGAAATGAGCACCTTCTCCAGGAGGCTCACTGGTGCCCAGGAAGGAAGGCTTCCGAGTACCTACCCAGAACCCTACAAGGACTTTCCAACAAGACTTCCCTGTTCTGCTCCCTTTCTACTCCCCGTGACCATCTCCTGCCACCGTCTCCCTGAAACACCCCGCCCCCCACAAGCACACGCCGTTCTCCAACCTCTCCCAGTTATTTGCAGCCCCACACGCACGCCGGGGTCCTGCATGTCTCCGTGAAAACGGTGGCATCCACAATCTGCCCCACTTGGACTCCTGCTTGTCCTTCACGCCTCGCTTCCTTCTCCGGAGCCCAGTGTTTCCCAGAGCACTCGCCTCCCGTCGCCCAGCTGCTCTGGTGAGCACCACTGGGAAGAGCTGAGGAAGGCTGCGGACGTTTTTCTGGTTAATTGCCCCCGAAGACATGGGAAACCGGGTTGTGGCTGAATATCAAGTGCAAGTGAAGAGGGGTTGGGCAGAGTTGCTGTCAGTTCTAAGGGAAGCTCACTGATGCCTAGGCCTGTGGACTGATGGGTACAGGGTTCGATTCTGATCAAGGGCACATGCCTGGGTTGCAGGCTCGATCCCCAGCAGGGGGTGGTGCAGGAGGCAGCCGATCAATGATTCTCTCTCATTAATGTTTCTATCTTTCTCTCCCTCTCCATTCCTCTCTGAAATCAATTATATATACTAGTGACCCAGTGCACAGATTCATGCACACTGAAAGGAAATTAATTAGAAGGTGGCTGGTGGCGGGCGGGGGGTACTGGGCGAGACGAGCTGGACACACCCTGGAGCCAATCTCCCACGTTCCCTCCCTAGTGTCTGCAGAGTGAGCGAGTCCCTCTGGCAGGTGGGGTCCCTCAGCCTGGCCTGTGGGTATCGGGCTGAAACCGGCTCTCCCACATCCCCCGAGGGGTCCCGGAGTGCGAGAGGGCACTCTGCAAAGTTGCTGTTGTACAGGGTGTGGAATGCAAATGCAGGTATGCGGTAAACCAGAGGTAAACCAGATTTGGGGCTGACAGTGCCCCAGCAACAACATAGCCCACAGCCAAAGGTGGAATCGCCCGGCCCTTCGAGGAATGGGGCTCCCTCCTCTCTGGTTTTGAGATGCATCACCCGAGAACCGCTGCTGCCAAGTCATCACAGCTGGGCAGCTACTGCATTGAGCGTCTGCCCCCTGGTTGTCAGTATACATCATAGTGACGCAGGTGGATGGGCAGAGGGACATTTAACATATTAGCCTTTTATATATATATATATCTATATATACACACACAACACACATACAGTTTACTAGGGGCTCAGTGCACGAATTCGTGCACCTTGAAAGAAACTGTGGACCACAAGGCTGTGGTGGGCACAGAGGCAGGACTTGGCCCATTCTTCATGCCCCCACCCAGCCCCTCCTGCCTTGGCCCCTGGTCCTCTGTCTGCCGGCAGCTCCGCTCCCATGCGCTGACATTGCTGGCCCCACTCACACCTGCTGACGACTCAGAGCAATTGGGGCCGGTGCCAGGAGCAGGTGTGAGCAGGGGTGAGCAGGGCCGGTATTGTCAGTGAGTTCGAGCTGTGGCTGCTGCCCTGATTGCCCCTCAGGAGCAGGGGGAGGTGGAGAAGCCCTCAGGGGTGATTGGGGCTGGCAGCCGCCGCTCGCACCTGCTGACAGTGCCGAGTGATCCGGGCTGGTGCTGGCAGCGGGTGCAAGCAGGGCCGACACCAGCAGCAGGTGGGAGCGTGGCGGGACCGCAGTGCGTAGGAGCAAAGAATTTTTAGTAACCACCAGAGGCTCACCCGATGACAGTGACTGGCGCCCGCCTTGGTCTGGTGCCCCCGCTCACCTGCTCCATCCGCTGTGGCCAATGCGCACATGTTCAGTGCTCTGCCACCTGCCTCTGACGCCCACCATGTTTCGCATGCAGCCCCTGGTGGTCAGCGCATGTCATAGGACTGGTTGTTGGGTCTGTTTGCATATTAGGATTTTATATAGAGATTAGATAGATAGATAGATAGATAGATATAAATACAAATAAGGGAAGCTCACTGGTGAAGGGCATGGACCTCCTGGCAACCAGCCCTGCAGGGAATCCATGCTCCCGAAGGCAGACAGGGACTCATTAAAATTAGCATTAAGTTAATTATCTTTAATTACAACCCTTCCCTAACCCTCCCCAAGGAAGGGCTGTTTCCTCCGTGCCCTTAGGCACCAGCTAGCCTGTGTGGGCTGTACCGGGAGGCTCCTGGGAAGCTCGGCCTGAACTCGCTGCCAGAACCCAGCCCTCCTGGGTTCTGGGCGCAGGGTGGGGGAGCGGAGCGGAGGGGA